TGGCTTGACGGCGAGTGCAGAGTATTTGCAAAAGGCCGTTGAAGCGACGAAGCCGGACCGCCCTAGAGAGACTGTCGTGCAGATCGATTCCGAATACGAGTTTGAGAATGTGCCAAAGGCCTTCGAGAGGCTAGATTCTGGCCGGGCGCGAGGCAAGGTCATAGTCCGAGTGAAAAAGGATGATCGGTAATGCAACAACATGTATAGACAGTGAGCTTGACAAACTCGACAACGTGCTCATGGAACGGTGACATTTCGAAAGTCAGCCATGACGATGACTGGGCCGCCATTGTGCACCATAGGCTTTCCCTGCCCGCGACATCCGTCCTCATCACACTCTCCCTTTGCTATCCACTGCTCTGCGAGCTTTTCGAATCCGAGCCTAGCGTATATCGCCGCGAGTCGGTCTGACGACGTCTCGAGGAGGACAGGCGTCGTCGGGCCAACTCGCATCAGTCCGTCTTGGACGAGCCGTCCAGCCAGACCCCGGCCCCTCATGCTGGGGTCGACTGCAATGATCTGAAGGTACAGGCAATCGATCGGCCTGAGTTTGCTACGCGTATGAGCCTTGAAAGCAGCTTTTTGCATGCTCTTGACGAGCGCCTCAAACTGTTCTATCCGAGTCTTTGTATGATAACCGAGCTTCCAAGGCAGCATAAGCGTGGCAAAGCCAGAATTGAGAATGTCTGTCGGATTGTCGAGGATGCGCGAGCCGGGCAGCGACCACATGGCGGCGCCGACAATCATTTGCGACGATCTTGGCCTCATGATGCGGATCAAACCTTTCGACAGCCGGACTGCGGCAACGAGCGCAACGTAAAAGTCCAATCGGTTGCGGTTTGACGATTTGAGCTTGCGTGGTGGCGGGAATGGGATCTCGTCTGGGATTGTCTTTGACCGAAAAAACCACTGATGGTTCCAGCTGTGTCGGAAATTACTGTTGGACAGAGCTCTGTCAGCTGGCGAATGGCTGATCGTGTCCAAGACTGGCCGGGAGCGCACTTGTACAGAAACACGGCAACGGCTTGATCGTCTTCAGGCTGGGCGTCTCTGATCTCGAGCTCATCTTTGCTGTCTTGCAGGAGGCTGGCCGCAGGGACTGTCATCCTATGAGCTTGCTAGTCGGGATGTTGCGGGGCCCAAGCGAGGCAGGACAGCGCCGGGAGGTCAATCGGGAACACGGCGAGCGCTTCCGATGCTGTCAGGATAAGGCTGAGGTAAAGAGAGCAAGGCGGACGTAACCTTGAGCAACGGAGAGAGCAAATGTGCCGGTGTCTGTGATTTCGCCCTCGGCGTGCTCGACTTGCCCTTCGCCGAGATCCAGCCCGGCGTCCCCGAGCGAGCCGCCGCGAGAGGTCCGTGAGCAAGACCAACCAGCTCTACCACCATGACGTCGCAAGATGTGCGCGACATCATGTCAATCAGCCAGCCGTCGCCAGCGCACGGCCTCAAGCTCGGCCAACCGCCTCAGCGCCGCTCGACCGCCGGTCGCTCGTCTGGGCCGCCCCAGTTCGATGATAAGAAGCGTCCGACCGGCATCGCGCGCGAGCTGTACGCGCTCATTGGCGACAACGCGCCGTCGCTCGCGCTTGCGCCGCCGAGCAAGCCAAAGTTCAAAGACCGCATCAAGCGCAGCGGCGCACAGATCCATTGGCGCCTGTCGTCGTTTACAAATCCTAGCAGGGGCGCAGGCGAGCCAGAGACGGACGAAAAGCTCGCAGAAGCGCGCAAAAAGCTCCAGCTCCGGCACTGGGTTCGCGATCTGCCCACGAACCACGTCGAGGGCGCCTTGGACACAAAGTTCCAAAAGTTCAACACGTCCAGTCAGCCCTACTCGTATACAAGCGACGAGTACGAGCAGTATCTGAAAGGTGCGGCATTGGCGCGTCTTGTTTGACCTTTCTTGCAGCGAAGCTGACATCCTTGCGATTCGTTGCAGACCCATCATGGACAAAGGAAGAGACAGACCACCTGTTTGAGCTCGCGCACCAGTACGATTTGCGATTCATAGTCATGGCGGACCGGTGGAGTCTCCCGACCGAGCGGACTGTCGATGTGCGACCATACAAAGTTCTCGCATGACAAGGATACTTACAACGTTCAACATATCTCACAGATGCTCAAAGCGAGGTACTATTCTGTCTGCCGCTCGCTCATCGCAAACAGACCTCGCGACACGGACAAGATGACGCCTGAGGAGAAGGAACGCTCCGACCGGCAACGGCAAGAATTGCTCGCAAGCTTCCACTTTGACATCAGTGAGCTGCACATCCTTGACACAATGCTAGCTTATGCTCACCCGACCGGACCCCCATAGACCGTGAAACTGAGCGAAAGGCGTACCTTCGGTCGCTCTTGTCACGAACGCCGCAACAAATCGCAGACGAGGATTTCTTGTACATAGAGAGCAGGCGCCTGGAACAATCCTACAACAAGATGGCGGCAGAGAGGGCCGAACTCCTCAAAATTCTCGGCGGACGGGAAGGCATAGGAGCGCAAGGCGGTGTGCAGGTTGGCGCAGGAGGCGGTGTCAAGGGTGCCAACGTTAGAGACGGCGACCGCAAGAGAAAGAGTCAGCCTGGCTGGGAATTCGAAGGTCTCAACGGTGCCGGTTTGCCAGAAGGCTGGGCCGGGGAGGGCAGCAAGCGCAAGGCGACGGCTGCACAAGGTGAGTGGGGCGCACGTGCCGCTTCAACCCAGACACTGAGCCCAAGCCGTTTCCTACCAGACGCCGCGAACTGTATTGAGCGACATCCTGCGCCGTCCGTCTCTGCACCAAAAGCAAACCCGTGGCCGTCTGTCGGCGTGAGGTCTTCACGAATCGCGCCTGTCAAGTCTGGCGTCGCCAATAAGGTCTCGGCTGCCTTGACAGAGCTCGGCTTCTCTACACATCTCATTATGCCGACAAAAGGCAACATTGAAAAGCTCGAACAGCTCCAGACGACGCTCGCGCACTTGATTGAACTCAAAAAGGCAGCTGATCGCATCGAAGGAGAGCTGAGAACGGTCAACAAAAAGAAGAATTTGCTACTTGGCATCGAGGAGGAGCCTGACGTCAAGCGCGAGGACGGTGACGATGGCAGAGGGGATCGGGAGAGTTCTGCAGCAGCGAGGGTCAGTCCGTACCACATTCCGATAGAATGACGCTCGCTGATCAGATGACGCCTCCGCAGAATAAGCGCAGCGCTTCAGCGTCCTCAAATCCGGCGAATAAGCGAGCACGGCATTGACGTCTGCGAACAGGGTTCGAGAACAAGGTTGGCATGGCATAATACTCTAGCATGTTGAAAGGTTTGTAGCATTTCCCTCTGTCGCTCCGGTCAATGTTTAAGCGGTCCAGCACACGCCTGCTCGTTCTTCGTGCCCTGAGCTCGAAAAAGTCAGCAATCGGGTGTGAGGGTTGCGAGGCGTAACGCCACCTTACAGTATCTATAACCCTCAGCGATGGCACACCAGTGACTCCATGCGGCGAGCAAGATGAGGACGTGGAAAATCTGATGAGAAGCGCCTACAATGTCGAATCTACCGGGCGCAAACCGTTCCGGCACGCGTTCCGCGTACAGCACGGCCCCTAGGATGTATCTGAAAAATAGACATGTTAGTACGAGACGGGAGTCTTGGCAACTTTGAGTCCTACAAGAAGCCTCCAAGTGCCAGCCACTGAAGCGACAAGCTTTGAGACGCTCGCTCAAGCTGATCGAGATTGAACAATGAGAACAATCAGTAACGTTGGAAGCAGTCTGAGTCCTTGTGCTGACTTACTCCATAGCGCACGACAGCGTGACCGACGGGAACAACGGCGCTAAGACCCATACCAATGAAAACCCAAGCTCGGAACCTCCGGTACTCCGGAGTTCGTGCATGCGGTGCAAGGACAGTGTACGCGGTACCTGCGCCTGCAATATAGATGGCTGAGATGTAAAGCGTGCGCAAATGTGGGTCGCCTGGTTCGTTGTCGTGCGTCAGGGCGTGCCGCGTCGCACATGCAAGCTACGTACAAAAAAAACCGTATCTCACTGCCGGAACGAACGTTCCGCTAATCAGGACGACGATGCCGAGGTAATCTAGCTGATTCCATCGATGTGCAACCTGGTCAAGGGGGAGTTGCTCAGCGAAAGCACAATTTTCGTACAAGCATTCAGCATCTGACAAGGAGCACGCTGAGCTTACAGCCTTTGAATGGCAACTGAGAGTATGGAACGTTCCTGAGAACCCTGTGCATAGAGAGTCGGGTTAAGCGGCGTTTTGAAGAAGGGAAACAAGCAGTGCAGACCTAGGCAGATGGCGGCAGACACAAAAAAGGTCACGAAACCGATTAGATCAATAAGCTGTACACTGGGTCGCGTAGAACCGGGAAACGGATTTGGCATCGGTGCAACAGGGGCTGTCCATCCCCGGCGACCTGAGTGTGCGGTCGTGTGTTCCGTGGAGAGTATAGTCGCATAAAGCAGGGTGCCCACAGCAACGATGGAACCCAATGCATGAGTCCACTGCTCGAGCAGATAGAAGCATTCAGTGTCCGCTCGGCGTTTCGGGCAGGAGCGATTCGCACAATGTTGACCGTCTCGTTGTGCGCGGCGAAGACGCTTTCGAAACAAAGCTTGTACGAATTCAGCGTTGGTCGGTAACCGGTGATGATGTAGGCGTTGTCGATGCGCCAGGGCTCGAGCTCGTCATGCGTCAACAACCGCGGGTGGCCGTCCTTCGCTTGCACGCCATGCTTAGGCTTGAGGTGATCGTTTTGTGAACGCTTGCGTGGTGGCATCTGGGCGCTGATAGCCTGCGAGACCCAAGTCTGCGGTTTCACGTGGTTAACGACGAGTAGCTTTGTTTAAGAGTGATCGAAGGCAGCTCGAGCCTCTGCGCATTCCGAAATACCTTCTGAGGCACTTCGTGGTAGTAAACTGGTACTTTGATTTCGAAAGACCACTTAAGCCTCCTATTCCGCAGTATTCGATTGAAAAATTATGATCCACAAACAGCTCCGGGTTCATGTACAAGACGCAGTGGTTTAATGGTAAAATTGGGCATTGCCACTTACAAGCTTGCCTAGCTCCGGGTTCGATTCCCGGCTGCGTCAATTTTTTTGGGTCTCCGACCCATGCTCTGCCGCGCTCCGCGAGTCGTCTCTTTTACCGGCGCTGCTGCCTCCGAAATCCAGCTGTGATTGCGGCCTGAGCGCGTCCTTTTTGGTCGGCTATCCTCACACCGACTCATCCATAGCGACAACCGAAACTCGACATATGCCCAGCAGACCTCTTTGACATGGCACCGCAACAGTCGCTTGTATTCCCTGCTGCCGTTAGCGCATTCGAGAATGACCGCGGTGCAATCCGAGCCGGGCTTCGCGACACGTAGGGCCCAGATGCACTCTTGACCCGTACCATGTGTCTGAGAACATCGCTGGCAGATTCAATCGGCTGCATTCCATCTTGGAGGACGCTGCTTTTGTAGAGGGTCAGGTTAGGGAAGCTTTTCCCGACTTTCCCATCATTCGTAAGGGTTCTGCGTCGAATCCATCGTCAATCTAACCAAGTGATGATGTTTATTCTGGTGCAGCCAATCAACGGGCTGGGGCTTGGTACGTCAGGCCGAAAGGTAACGAGCAATTCGTTTATTTCAAGAGCACGGACGGTCACGCCGGCGAGCATGACTTCAGCTTCCGAAGTGAGCCAGGCAAGATATGTGTCACTTATTTCTGACGCCGCGCCATACTAGGGACCAATCTTGCTCTCGTTCCCGTTGTTGAGAAGCACGGAGGGTGAGAATGCTCGCGCTCACGCCATGACATCGTAACGCTCAAGCCCCTTTGCCCAGCGTGCTGCTAGTTGATTCCACAAGGCGTGGAAAGGTAAGCAAGATTGCATATAGAGACGCCACAGGAAATTGATTAGACTCCTCGAACAGCGCTTCCCAGACGCTCTATCCAAGACCGTGCCGCTGTGGTGTGCAACTATGAACGCTGCTCGGCTCAAGCTTGAGCCTCTAGAGAATTTGCCTGCTGCTGCCAAACAGAGCTGGGCAGAGAACGGCAAGCTGTGGACCCTGCCTTCCGCTGTGGGCAGATCAGAGCACTCGCAAATCGAGGCTAAAATCGACCAGTGGGCTGATGGACTTTTGGTGAGTTGGTCCTGATCCATGAAAGGCTCGCCCTCATCTGCCTGCGAATCAGGCCTCGTCGTACAACCTAGAAATGGTCAGGAGCCTAGCAAAGCCACTGCGGCCATTGTTCGTGTCTCCTGCGTCCCAACTCAGCTTACAGCGTGCGAGCGACTTTCCGGATTTCTATCCAGTGGTCTGTGTCAGCGCGAGCAAGCTTGCCAGCGAGGAGGACGGTCTCGAGCGTGCGGGAGGATACACGTATGTCCAGGGCAGCGGCGACGAGTGAGTAACCCACGAGGTGTTTTTGTCCAAGCACGTGCAGACGCTGAGTTCTTGAACAGTCACGAGGAATGGTCAAAGGTGCGCCACTTTTGACACGCATCGTAGAGTAAGTACGCTGACGCGCCCCGCGCCAAAGGGCTTGACTCCAGACGTTTTTTGGGCAAACGAAAAGAGCATCATGGCTGCTTCCAGGAACGACATTGACCGGCTTATTCAAGATGTCCGTTCCGACACGGTGTCTTTGGCTAGTCCTGACGAGTTCACCATCCGAAGCACTCATCTCAAACTCGTATTTGGTCAAACAAGAACGCCCGATGTAGCCGCTAAACCTCACGAGCTAGTCATTACCACAGGCCAAAGCCCTCTACCTGCTGAAGACTTGCCTGAGCGTTATTTGGCGACGAGACCGGGCAAAGTGGGCTATACCGCTTTTTTCAAAGCGGTGGGCACGATCGTAGACGAGCTCAGTGCGAATCTACAGCAAGGCCATTTGGTCTCGATTGTCGCGGCACAATCCGACACGTTGTCGGATACCAAAGACCTTGTTGTAGCTGTCGCCCTGATCCTGCTTGGTAAGCACGGCACAGCTGTTCAGGCGCCATGGCTCAGCCGCATTTGTTCACCCTGCGATGCAGCTCGCAATTTCAATGACGATGGCGCGCTCAGCTCCGAGCAGCAACACCGTAGGCGTAAGTTTCTGTCATGTGCACACTCGCATTGATCGCGAAGCTCACTTTGTTCCTGTTTTCAAGCAACCAAAATTTTAATCAGGGCCAGATTGCAATGGATTCTAGAGTCTGTGCCTGGCCTCAACCCATCACGCAATATTCTCACAAAGACAAACGGCTTCCTCATGTCATCAAGCGATTGACTCGCAAAAGCGGCAGTGTAAAATAGTGTTACACTCATTGCACCTTGAAATTTAAGAATCACAAGAGAGGCCGCGCCTGGGCGATCCTGCGGAAAACCCAAAGAATACCCCGAAACCCTATCCCGACTCAGTTTATATACATTTGATGCTGAACAAGACCTCTAGGTCGTTCGTGACGCAGCTGTTGGGTCCATCTCGTTCAAGAGCCTATCGACTTCCTCCTCGACCGACCCTTCAAGCCATCGCTCATCGTCGCCGTCGACCGCGTAGGTGTCCGCGGCGGTGTCGAAGGATTCGATTGTGGTTGCGACGCTCCCTTCTGGACTGCCAGGGACCAGTCCGTCGCGTCCACTTCCGGCGTCGACGGATCGATCTTGTGACCCTCTTCGATCATGAGCGTCTGAGCACGTCGTCGAAGACCGCCTCGACGAGACGATGGGCGACGCTCTCCCTGTTGCGACTCTTTCTGATGCGTCAAATCTGTCTGCACCTTGGCTTTCCGCCGACCGACTGCGTGCCATTGAGACGGGTCGGACTGCTGTACCTGCCCCAGAAGACTGTTCGACGAGCCGTTTTGCAGTTCCTGCAGTTGCAGAGTCTCCGTCTGCTGATCTGCTGTCATCTCGTCCGACTTGCGTTGTGGGCGAAGCGCTGCGAGTGGACGATTGTCGCTGGTATTGCGGTAGGGGAGAGCGAGGTCGGCCAAGCGCGAAGCCCATGACCGGTTGACTGGCCGATTTGAGTGTGTGCTCGTGGAAGACGTCGTCGACAGACCCGCGTCGCTCGACATCGTCCCTGTCGTAGTCATCGTCTGACGTTCTACTGGCTGCGAGCGCCATAAGTGCCGTCCGAGGGGACCGAAAAAACTGAGACCCCCAGCCTTTCAGCGACGAATATGCAGGTGGTGCGTTTGGCGACAATGGCGTAGGTGCAGGCCGCGTGTCAGCGTAAGGGTACGGCTGCTGGCCGTGAATTGAGCGGAGTTGCATTCCATCGAATGCGCCATCGTGCACAGTGCCAGGTGCGTGCAGGACAGAATTGTTCGAGGGAGAGCCGGGTCTCGAAAAACTAGGTATCGGTTGATACTGTGGCCGGCCAGAGCCATCGTCGATGTATGATACGTTCGAAAAGTACTGTGACCAGCTTCCACCTTGGCCAGAGCTCGTCGGCATCGGTGTTCTCGCACCAGATTCGGGTGGAAAGAACCAAACCGGCAAGTAGTACAGGACGCCGCGTCCCGGTGTGCCCATCGCACTCTTGGAGCCGTCATCGGTGTCACTTGGTGATCCTGGCCGGGCGTAGGGCAGGTTGGCCGTGGCGCCAGACGGCAGAGCAATTGGTCCGAGCGCGCGATGCGATTTGGCACGCAAAAAGCTCCGTTTGCTCCACAGCAGACGAGCTACGCCTAGGACGACGATCGAAAATCCGAGGTACATAAGCACCATGCCAAACTTTCCAAGGAAAGTGATAAACCCTGCGTCGTCACTGCAAGCGCTTCTCGTGAGCGCAGCACCGATTGTAGGTAGCAGAGTCGAGACTCACGCATGCCACGAGCTGCCGTAGTAGTGATCGAAGAACGAGCCTTGCATCTCTACTTCTGGAGCGTTCTTTCCGTACCATCTTCGAGGCAAGATCCGTACCTGCCTCTCCTCTCCTTCGACGTCTTCCTTTGGCCACAGTCCGTACTGCGCCGACAGAAACATTGGACCAGTCGAGAACATGACAGTTGGGTAGTTTGTTCCATATTGATGGTCGAAAGTGACGAGATTATGAATAACGAGGTCCATGAAAGGATGCTCCTTTTCTGAGAACATAAGGTCGTTTGAGACGCCGACAGGGATCGTTGCTGGCAGGATCACTTGGAAGTAAAGCAGCGGGTCCATGTTTCGTCGACAACCAATGTCCAGGTCCATATAGACACCGCCATAATGGTGCAAGACGAAGTAGCGGATAGCGTCAGCGCGTTGGATCGGATAAGTGTAGCTGTCAAATGTCGCCAAGAACCATGGGTACTCTTTCGCAATGAATTCGCTTGATGACTCGTCCGACCAAAGCATGTATTCGCTGCGCGTAGCGTTGGCTGTCAGAGCGAAGGCACGCGAGGAGTACGACGCGCGTGGACTGACTAGTCTGGGTGCAGGTCGATGCACGTTTGGCGGACCGACTTCCAGCGGTCTGGCACGTCGTTCGTCTTCCAAGTCTGATGAATGATTTTTGGGATGCCCGGACGCAAAGTGGGGGCGGCAGACGGCTCGGAGAATCTCCGATGAAGGGCCGGCGCACGGGCGTCAGCGGCGGCGCCACCACTGCCTGCTTCAAGATGAGTGTCTGGCAGCAGAGGCAAGCCGTCTTCGGGCTTTGACCAGCTCGGTAGCCGTACATCGGTACCAGCTTTGGCGGTTGCTTCGCCAGGCAGCGTCGCGCCGTGCTCGCTCACCGTGGCGGCGGCGGCGGCGTTTGAGACTGCGGCGGCCCATTGCTCAGCCGCGAGCATCTCGGGTTCGGTGATAATGTCGCGCCTGTCGACCCCAAAGTAGCGCACGACGGTCGACAGGACTATGACGGTGCCGACGAGCACGAGCGCGAGCAGCGTCAAAAACACGCACAGCGCACGGCGCAGCCGGTGCGCTTTCGCTCCACCCGCCATCGTGGCAGTCCTTTCTTGATCGCTGTCTCGCCTCCTGGCGATGTCAAGGCGGCCGTGTGCAGAGGTGGGCAGCCAAAAAAGCCCGAGATGGATCGCGCGCCAGGCCCGGACGCGGCGGCGCGCGCACTCAAACAATCGCCTTGTGGGCAGTGTGCAACAACAATGCCTATGGACACTT